TGTCTAAACGAGACATTTCAGGCCGCGGGTCAAATTTGATGATTAAATATTGTATTTTATAATTTTTGACCAACCGTTTCTTTTTGGTAAGTTCTTGCCTTTCTAACTGCATGGAAATTTTAGGAAAATGGAATTGTTGCTGCCAGGAATTAGCGCAAGATCTACTGACAGAATGAGACAATTATGTGCATCCTAACTTTAAGGATTTGGAATATTTTGTTTTCTTTTTGTCTCTCTCGCTATATAAGAGCCTGTAGGACAGATCGTACATGTAAAGGTTCTTATGAATTAATCTCTGTAACTTTATCCAAGATTGAAATCTTGAGCCCTTACCACTAAATGCTTCTAGCGTTTGAAATCAGATTTCAAACCTAACGCTTACACAGCATATTGTCTTTTAATAATCTAAAACAATGGTTTCGAATCTACGCTGTTTTTGTACATGTGGATCATTTCAAAATCAAATTTTGTGATAGAAAAGCTTTAGGTAAGGAAAGCGAAACTCTATCATTATTATTAATTCTTAAGTTTACTTTGAAAAGAACGCCAAAAATAGGTTGGTTGGCCGATTTTGTTTAGCGGCATATCAACTTCTCTATAGATTATTTAATGCTGAAATCTAAATATTTCCATTGGTTTGGTTGGTTGTCTTTGTTTAGCGGCATATCAACACTTCTATGGGTTATTTAATGCTGAAAATTCAGCCTTTATAATTCAGGTGAATGGCATTATTTCATGTTTAAATTATAATTACATACCTGCATTATTTTAGCCAAATAATGAAATATGGGGTGAAAATATGTTTATCCTTACAAGAAATGAGATGAATATTAGCAAGTAGTTTATTTTGTTTATTTTTTGGACAATGTGTCATCGTACAAAACCCTTCCCGGTCGTCCAAGACTTCCAACATACCGGCTTATCGATGAAGATGACTTCGATCTCAGACCTACCCTATCCCACGTTCTGATTTATTTTGGATCATAAGGAGGCCAAGATCGAATCTTTGCAGGTAGCTTCGTGTTGGGTTGGTCCAAGCAAGACGAAGACGTACAGGGAAAAAATAACACTCAAATAAATTGAACAAAAAGTAAATACTGTTTTCATATCGGTCCTTCGTAGAATAATTGGTTTGTTTATATTTCTGAGATGAGGCATTATGTACA